GTCAGTCCTGTTCCAGAGGGCTCCAGGTGTTCTTACTGAGCATGTACAGACTTGGCACAATGGTGGGTTGCCTCATCTTTTGGTTTTTGAATGCTGAGAGTGGTTCCAATGGCTGGGTTGTTGGTCCAGATATTGGTGTTGATGGTTCGGTTATTCAGAGGGAGCTATTTGTAGACCTACTGCCATTGTCTCTCAAGCACCCTCATTCATCCCCATTCATTCAGGAACCAAGTTACATAGGAGGGGTAGGCATGAGTCATGGGTTACTCAACTGGGCCTGGGGACAGGCTGGAGACTTGACAAACAAAATGGAAACTTGACATGACTTATGCTAACTTACACATATAGGCCTAAAACAGTAATCACACAATATAAAAGCAATAAAAAAAAAGTACAAAACATAATAAGTATCCCTTATAAAACAGTGGCTATCTATATCAAAATAGCAGGGCACTTATTTGCAAGGAGGGGAGAGAAAAATAAAACTTACTACCTAAAATAAAATGTTAAAGCTTATTCTACATCTTAGCTTATTTATACTTACCTAGGGAATAGAGAGGGAAAGGAAAAGTCAGAAATGGTTGGGCAAGGGAATGCATTTTAAAATAAATTAAAAAAAGAAAAACTGGGGGTTTTGCTACAGTAGAGTAATACATTTAAAATAAAAGAATTCAAAACTAATTATTCTATAGTGGTTAAAGAAGGGTGCTGAGGAAAATGAGTTATTTCAAGTCTGCCACTGGCTCTTTGATACAATTACTACAGCATTGCCAATTCTCACAATTTTATCATATTTGCCCTGTGATACTGTGGGGCGGGGGGGCGCGTTTAAGCCTCAGTTCCTGGAGACCTCGTGATTATCTGAGCCTCTCCCTCAACCATGATTTAAAAACTGGAACTCTGTCCCTCCTGGTTGCAAACCATAGGCTCAAAAGTTGGAAAACAAATAGAAAAGCATCAAATTTGTTATTTTTAAAAAACTCTTTATTTTTAAACTAATCTTTATGACTTTGGAGGGCTTGGCTCATGACATTTAAATCCTTAGGGTCAGCAATAATGATATCATTTTAGAAGAGGCAAAGTCTCCAGTGTTTCATGCCTTGGTTTGGCCTGACCAGCTTTAGTTGCATCTATGGCCTGACTTATGCAGCTACTCTTGAATTCAGCTAGAATTATGAGTGCTGAGCACATTTGAAAATCAGGACACATTTTCAAAAAGATCCACTAGTTCTTGAAGAACATAATACATATAGCTACATCAGGGCGGGCAATTATTTTGGACGGAGGGCTGCTCACAGTTTTGGCAAGCCATCAAGGGCCGCATAACAGGCAGCCAGGGGCATATAAATATTACTTTTCTAAGTTTTTTAGGGGCCCTGTGGGCCAGATAGAATGGCCTGGTGGGCTGCCTCCGGCCCGCGGGCCGCATTTTGCCCACCCCGGGCTACATAATGCATATGCTACAGTTTACAACTAGGTATATCCAATTTGGCAGCTAGCCATTCTATAAATGATAGGCCTTGAAATAATAATTGTAGAAGAAAATACAAATAACTATAGAAAGTGAATATTGCCAATTGCCTTCCCATATCCCCTTTCCCAGTAACATTCCCTGACCTTCTTCTTACTGCAGGCCATTGCCGAACACGTTAAGAGCGGTGAAAAGGAACTGCAAAACCTGGAAGTTCAGTCTATAGGTGTCATCCAGAATACCTCCCCCCTAGGGGCTGAAAAGATAAAGGACAAGTTGGAGGAGTTGAGGAAAGCCCTGGAGAAGTTGAAACTAATGTGTAGCGAGGAACAGGAGAGATTGCATAAGTTCTTCCAGTCAAAAAGTGCCTATCAGTCCCAAGTCAGAGAATTAGAAGCAGAGGTTAGTGAATTCAGAAAGGGGATACAAAGGCTTGAAAGTGACCTGAAGCCAAGGGAGAGGACAAAGAGTGAAGAGGAGTTATTGATCCTGTGGAGAAAGTGCATGGTAAGTTGCATTGGAGAAGGTTAAACACAACAGATACAAAGTTTAGTTAGCATACTTGACTAACTGAATATTTATCACCAACCACAAGTGTTACACATGGTCACTTAATGCACTACTGGATGATACCAAAATAGTTTGGAGATGAGGCCAGAACGTGAACATGAATAAAGAAACTTGAATGGAGACAAAAGACCCAATAATTCTATGGTCTCCACTTCACATTTTCTACGCCCTGATTCTCTGTAGTTCTGGCAGTCAGATTGCTAGCTCCTCTCCAGATGTCTTCTTACTCTATAAATAGTTCCACTGAAATAAAGTGTGTGTGCATGTGCATACATGTGTTTGTACTAGCACATTTATAATTTCAAGTTTCTGGTTGTAGAAATGTCATATTTTTTTAAAAATTGAACTGCTTAAAAAGCCAAACCGCGTGAGAAGAGGTTCTCTGCATATGGAATATGTAACAATCACTGTCATTGTGTTTCTTTAAACAGCTGTAAAGTTCATGTATCTATCATCATGTTTATTTCTGCATGATATCTTTTATTATTACCCCAAATGCTTTTTAATATGCTGTATTTAACAAGAATTGTGCAAATAGTAGGGAAAGAATATTTGCAGACATGCACTAAATACAGCTGATTCCACCCAGTCATATTCACACCCTTCCCTCCCCCCTGCTCCCCAAGTTCCACATCTAACTCTATAATTACTGTTTTATAACTGCCTGTGGAAGAGATGTTTGTTGTTAGTGCCTGCAGAATGGATTATGGTGGCATCCAAAGTGCTACTCAACTTAAGTCATTGAATCCAAGAATCGAACTAAGGCATGTGGCTTTGCTGACCACTGACACACATTAGAGAGTGAGTTGTGCATACCACAGACTCACTAGAAGATGTGACGTGGAAGTTTTCCAAAAAAAAAACATATCCAAAAGTTGTTCATAGCTGTTCAGTAAATTGTACAGGGACAGTTGAATCTGATGCATTTAAGTATCTGCTCACAGAAGGCAGATTAATCATTTCAAGAGTCAGCCCAGTCAGTATATTTCATGCTCTGATTTTTGTGCTTGTGATTTAAACTGACTGCTACTTTTATGGTTAAGGCAACAAGAGCAGCTCTTGCCACAGAGGAGCCAAAGGTTGAGAGGCTGAAGGCTCAGCTTAACAAGCTGTTCCAGTTTCCACAGGATGTACAGCCACATGTGGACAGTGTTGTATCTGCAATACAGGAATACCAAAGGTATTTGCAAATTGGGAATATGGCTAAAATTTCAGTCAGGGACTGGATGGGTCCAAGGGTTAGCAAGAGCCTACAACAGAAAAGCAAGATGCAGCTGGACCTGAAGTAGCAGGGTTAAAAAAAGAGGGATTTTTATAGGTTATAGCCACATCCTACATTTTACCTGTGATTTTACAGCCAGCTTCTGCAACTCTTAATTATGTTCAGAGATACCAACTCATGTGCATAGTCCCATTAAAAGCCCTGGGAGCCAGGTTTTGTCTCCCATTAGGCACCAAAATAAAGGGCTAGATTTTCAGAGGAGCTCAACATGGGAGTGTAGAGTTGTTTTGAAAACTGGGCATAAGTATCCTGATAGGAGCTGTAGGTGAGAGGGCTGAGCACTTAAAATCAGGGTATGGATCTGACAGTTGAACAATTGGAAAAATCTCTCTTAGGCCCTAAATCTGCTCCCAATTGCAGTTCTGCCTGACAGGGAGCAGGAGCAGGTATTAAAAAGTCAAAGGAAACGGTTTTCATTGTCCCAAGGCAAAGGGTATCCTGGGGAGGTGTGATTTGCCTGCGTGTTGTATTCTAAGCTTCCATAATGACTAGGAACATGGACTCCTATCTCTTGCTCTTGGATCGCTCTGTTATTGTGCTGTACACAGGCTGAATAATTTAGCTTGGTTCGATTGCTTGGCTAATTTAGCTCACCTTAAATTTGCAGAATTGGTAGTTTTATGTGTTGCTTTCTTTTCGCAATAGCAATCCAAAGTCAGCATAGGAGTGGCAGTTGTTAAATAGTTTGGAGGAATGGCTGTGAGCCACAAGTGCCCTTTTTTGGGACTTTGTTTTGATGACTCAGTCCCCTTGCAATTCTCTGACAAGGCTGTTTCCACCTTCCTCTGACTACCTACCTCCTGCTTCCTGCCTACATTTGGGCTGGAAACATTGCAAAATCTAGCCTCTCCCTGTGCTCTGGTGCTTCCGCTTCCAGGCTCACCGGAATCGGGAACTACAGAAACTGCAGTAAAACTTTTTGCAGATTTCCAGAAAGGATTATTTTTGGGGGGAAAAGGTCAGTTTTCTTTATTATCTGCACACTTCTTTCATTATGTTGAGTGCCAGCTATGCTGGTCAATTGAAGTGGGTCTGGTCATCCCAGAAAATGAACAAATCAAATTTTAAAGGAATAATCAAGCAAACAAACTGGGATGTTTTCCCTTCATGGCAGCCAAATAAAGAAGATTGGAAAATTGGTCTGTGATTAGGAAACAGCAGCTGTTTAGTAAGTTGCTGGGGTTTTCATAATGCTTTTTTGCAGGCGTGGCAGCTTCAGGCAGAGACTGGCACAGTTCACAAAGCAGATGGCGAAGGAGATACCTTCCAGCTGAGGATTTGGGGGTCCTCTAAACATGCATGTGTTTGTATTACCTCTTTGCTGTAGGGATTGTTACCATCTTAATTTTATAAATGCAGAAGCAAAAACAATTTTTTTTTTAAATGGAAAGGTGAAACTAGCTGAGCGTGCGCTGGACAGCTGTGTTGTAGCATGGAGTAGAACTGCAGTCTGACTACTTCCTGTTTTGAGCAGAACAGGGCACTGCTTATTGTTGTGCATAGATTTGTTTTGCAAAGTGTTATTTGGTTTAAGATTCACGCATAGAGAACCAACAAGCAGCTGTAGAGGTGTGCTGCTGGGCCCCACTGTACTGAACACCAGCTTTCATACTGGAAACTTGGAGGTTTAAATTAATGACTCTTTGCTATTTTTATTTTGCTACTCAGTTTATTTGACATTTAAAAATTATTTAAAGAAATTTAGCTACAGACAAAGAAGACTTTTATCTCCGGCCTTCTTTTGGGCATTTTAGATGATCAAACAGTTATTTTTAATGTAAAGATGTAAAAAAAAAAGTTTTTTACTTTTTATTTCTAAAATGAAAAGGGGATACAGATAAATTCGGACTTTCTATACAAGCATTAGTTTGTGCCAACCATCAACCATACTTCTCTCTTGGTCTTACTTCATGGATAACTGAACATAAAGTAATGAATGCATGCAAGCAGAGATTGTTCAGCAGTTGGAACTGAAGGGCCAGATTTACCCCCAGTGAGTCAGCGCTGAATACACTGTAGCTTCAGAAGAGCTGACACATCTATCTAGAGCTAAGCAAAGTTTGCCAGACACTGGCAGAAGTTGCTGCCAAGGACAAGGGTTCACGAAGCCAGGACTACATAAGGAGAAAACTGAGGTTCTTTGTGTTAAGTACAGAATGCACATGAGGACTGTGCTAATTTTTCCTTTGATAAACTCAGACGTGTTTAGGATTTTAATATAATGCTTCTGTCTATCTGCTTGTTTTTGCAGTGTTAAAGGGAAAGCATTTAAAATGAGTATTGCAGCTGGAGGTGAGCTAAGGCAGCATCTTCAAAACCCAATGCAAGAATTTCAGCTGTGGAAGCCATCAGTTCAGGGACTTCTGGATATGACTGCTAATGTTACTGAACCCACAGTGGCACAGACTTTCTTACTTCGGCTTGAGGTAATGAGGTGCTGCTAAGTTGGGGACCCAATATCTTGTTTGTACTGCACACGCTTTGGAAGCAAGTTATATGTGTGTAGCATGCTGACAGCAACAGCTGGGAAAATTGTCCTGTTATCATAGAAAATAACACATTATTGAAGATCAGCTGAATAACAGAATATGTCACTTTCAGTACTCAATTTGGTAACATACAGTTGCCAATTGAGGTACAAATGTCATATCAGAGCTAAATATTAATAACAACAATAGTATTGCCTCCAATAGTAACCACAGATCTCTCTGGATCTCTGCACAGGATATCTGTAGATTCTGATAATGCTTTGGCCATAACAGAGAATAAAGTACATAATTTCTGTAGTGTGTTGGTTGTAGCCAGGTTGATCTAAGAACAGGTATGCACCCATGATATGGGGATTTGCTTGTATCTTCACCCCTTCAATCTCTGAAACAAATGCTTTCAGAAACAAGGATCAAACTTAACCTTAACTCTGATAAGGCTGCTTTGTGGCAAGTTCTGTTGTAGCTGACTAGCTTCTTTGATGCAAGGCAGAAGAACTGGAGACAAGAAGCTAAAAGAAATATTGTAAGCAGAACTTGCGCTTCCTGGTGCACTTGTGGTAAAGCAACTTGCATTATCCATTACAGCAGGACTGAACTAGGTCTGTAGCGTAGCCCCAGCTTCCCTCATAACTGCAATTGCAGAAACAAAAGGGTCCTGCAAGTAGGAATACAATTATCTTCATATTGTTTAGGCCTTCTCTCCCTATTAGGGATGGAGGAGGATGCAGTCTTTTTTCAGTGTCTTGCATTATACCACACATGCACAATATGTTGTTCGTTGAAGCGGTGGCACTGAAGTCTATATATTCTTTTGTTGTGTGGCTTTTGGTCTGCTCATGTAGTTGTCAGTGCTATCATTTCACCAAATGAAGTGTTGTTTTAGGAATGTCTGGCAGAAAGCTCCCAATTCAAGGAAAGGATGATGATGATACAGCTGAAGAAAGATTTGCTTGGCAGTGTCTTTGGTGAGGAGGAAGCAGCGTCCCTCTTGACAGAGGTGACTGAAGCAGCAAAGGAGAGAGAAATTCTACATAAAAGTCTTTTGCAAAACAAAAGCAAACTTCAGGTGAGCAGCCTATTCACCTCAAGGCCTATTTTTAACCCAAGTCAAAGAGTATGGTTAATCTTTTATATAAAACCGCTTTAATAAATAAATTCAGTAAGACCTAGGTGTGTTGAATGCACTTCATAGCTTGATAAATGATTAATAGAAATGTGAATTGTTGGGTAGTACAGCTAATTATTTGTTCATAGTATGAAATGGGCCCATAATGCAACTCACAGATGCTATTTTTTGTCTCTCCTAGAACTTGATTTCTCAGCACAAAGACTTTGATGCAGGTTTTGTACCTTTGCAGAAGAAGTTTTCTGCTATCAGAACCAAAGTTGATCTAGAGAAAGAGCCACAGCCTGACCTTGTAGGAAAAAAGACACGTCTCCAGAGACTCCAGGTATGTTACAAGAACAACTGTCTGAGCTATCCTGGTGTTAATCATGGTTACACAGTTGCTCTGCCTCATTTCTCCTTAGTTTCATAGTAGGTAGGGTCAGAAGGGACCTGAGCAGATCATCAAGTCCAACCCCCTGCCCTGGGCAGGAAAGGATGCTGGGGTCAAACAACCCCGGCTAGGTGATAATCTAGCCTCCTTTTGAAGACCCGCAGGGTAGGAGTGAGCACCACCTCCCTTGGAAGTTGGTTCCAGATGCTAGCTGCCCTGACTGTGAAGTAGTGCTTCCTGATGTCTAGCCTGAATCTACTCTTGGTCAACTTATGACTGCTGTTCCTCATTACTCCTGGTAGTGCTCAGGAGAACAGGGACTCTTCCATAGCCTGCTGGTTCCCCTTGGCCAGTTTGTAGATGGCCACCAGATCCCCTCTCAGCCTTCTCTTGTGAAGGCTGAACAGGTTCAGGTCCTGTAGCCTCTCCTCGTAGGGCCTACCCTGCTACCCCTTGACCATGCGAGTGGCCCTCCTCTGGACCCTCTCCATGTTGTCCACATCCCTCTTGAAGTGCGGCACCCAGAACTGGACGCAGTACTCCAGCTGTGGCCTGACCAATACCGCATAGAGGGGAAGTATCACCTCCTTGGACCTGCTTGAGATGCATCTGTGGATGCATGACAGATACGGTTGGCCTTTCTGACTGCATCCCCACACTGCCGGCCCATGTTCATTTTGGCATCAATGATGATTCTAAGATCTTTTTCTGCCTCTGCACTGACAAGAAGGGAGTTCCCCAGCCTGTAGGTGTGCTGCTGGTTCTTCCTCTCCAAGTACAATACCCTGCACTTGTCAGTATTGAATCCCATCCTATTTTCATCTACCCACCCCTGTAACCTGTCTAGATCTAGTTGCAGCCTGTCCCTGTCCTCCAGCTTGCCCACTTCTCCCCACATTTTAGTGTCATCCACGAATTTGAACAGGGTGCTTTTTACCCCCTCGTCCAAGTCGCTGATGAAGATGTTGAACAGTGCGGGCCCAAGGACCAAGCCCTGGGGCACCCCACTGCCCACATCCCTCCAGGTCGAAAAAAACCCATCCACCACCACTCTCTGGGTGTGGCCCTCCAGCCAATTTGTGACCCATTGGACTGCGTAGGCATGGACGCCACAGTTGCCTAATTTCTTAATGGGAATGGGGTGAGAGACAGTGTCAAAGGCCTTCCTAAAGTCCAGAAAGACTACATCTACTGCAACACCTGCTTTAGTGGGATTAAGTTGAAAGAGGGGAAAGCCTCTTTTTGCCTGGCTTATCACAAGAAAGCTGATGTC